GTAGTAGTGTTATAGAGTGTAGTAGTGTATAGTATGGTGTATAGTGTAGTAGTGTATAGTGTATAGTGTAGATAGTGGATAGTGTAGTAGTGTATAGTGTAGTAGTGTATAATGTAGTAGTGTATAGTAGTGTAGTGGTATAGTAGTGTAGTGTATAGTGGGTATAGTAGTGTAGTGTATAGTAGTGTATAGTGTAGTAGTGTATAGTGTAGTAGTGTATCGACTGAGAGACGAACTAACGAACGACCCCCTCATCGTTGCCACGTTAAAAGCTGTCCTTCGTGCACCGTACATTGCCAACCGTGCTTGATCGCACCCAAAGCCGTGAGGAAAAGTGAGAGTGGGTCTTGGGCAGCCGCGTTATACGGGACACGAGGGTCGAGACTAACAACGGAATGGCGTTGCCAAGTGCGCGATTATCGTAGTAGCAAAAGGAACTACTGTACACGTGTAGCGGCTGTAGCTGCTACAAAGGCTACGGGCCCCGCCCTTTCAAGGGCCCCACGCTAATGCTTTCAGCTATCAATTGCGGTTCAGTGATTCTGCATTTGCTCTATTACTATAGTACTATACCGCCTTCAACTTTATGAACGACTGGGTGTTTAAGGTTAGCGATTTGTCGTATTATCCGGCTGTATAGCAAATGAAATGATACACTTACTTCACTGTACAAGTTTAAAACATCAGTGTTTTAATATTTACGTGTTTTTTTATTATTAATTTAGGGCCCCTTTATAACAACAGACGCGCCAGGCCCCGCACCGAGCACATGGCAAGGCAGCGGGGAGGCCTCGTCGTGTACCTGTTCGCCGAACTTCTTTCGCACCGCACGTCGCCCAGCGTGCACGTCGGAGGTGTGGGGGGGGGTGATGACAAACTAAACAAACAGCGGCGTCTTCATCCAGCGGCGGAGTGATCAAGGCGGGTGGCGGTGACGGCAGGCGGAGAGAGTCGCGTGAGAGGGAGAGAGGCAGCCGACTTCACCTCCTGCTCCTCCTCCTGCTGCTCCTCGCTGGCGGTGCCCCGCGTGGCGGCAGCGGAGGCTGTGGGCTGGCAGCCCGTAGCGCCCCCCACTCGCACAGAGCCCCCCACTCGCACAGAGCCACCCACTCGCACAGAGCCACCCACTCGCACAGAGCCACCCACTCGCACAGAGCCCCCCACTCGCACAGAGCCACCCACTCGCACAGAGCCCCCCACTCGAGGCAGCGCGGCTCCTCCTCGCGTTACACAAGCACCGTGGACTTGCACAACCACCACCACCACCACACACGGTGAGCACGTGGCCGTCCCCCACCACAACAACAATCACGCACGTGGCCGTCCCCCACAGCGGGCTGTGGCAGTGATGACGTAGACGATGTTAATGACGATGACGTCGACGATGTTAATGACGATGACGTTGACAATGTTAATGACGATGACGTTGACGATGTTAATGACGATGACGTTAACGATGTTGATGACATTGACGATGTTAATGACGATGACGTTGACAATGTTAATGACGTAGACGATGTTAATGACGATGACGTAGACGATGTTGATGACATTGACGATGTTAATGACGATGACGTTGACAGTGTTAATGACGATGACGTAACGATGTTGATGAAAATGACAGTGTTAATGACGATGACGTAACGATGTTGATGACGATGCATCCGGCGAGTGACGTCATCGCCGAGACACGCTGCCCGGATTCGCACGCGGGGGCTGCCACTGGGGCTGGGAGCCGCGCTGCCGATCCGCTGCGGGCTGCTGCGGGCTGCTGCCGATCCACTGCGGGCTGCTGCGGGCTGCTGCCGATCCACTGCGGGCTGCTGCCGATCCACTGCGGGCTGCTGCCGATCCACTGCGGGGTGCTGCGGGGTGCTGCGGGGCGCTGCCGATCCACTGCGGGCTGCTGCTGATCCACTGCGGGCTGCTGCCGATCCACTGCGGGGTGCTGCGGGGTGCTGCGGGGCGCTGCCGATCCACTGCGGGCTGCTGCCGATCCACTGCGGGGTGCTGCGGGGTGCTGCGGGGCGCTGCCGATCCACTGCGGGCTGCTGCCGTTCCACTGCGGGCTGCTGCCGATCCACTGCGGGCTGCTGCCGATCCACTGCGGGGTGCTGCGGGATGGACTTCGTGGGCCCCTCGCCACGCGGTGAGTGGAAGGCGCCGCTCCCCCCCTCCTCCTCCTGGCCCCGTGCCCTGCCCCTGAAACAGTCGCGGGTTTGTTGCACACTTCACGTCAGACACGCGGCCTTCGTTGAGTGCAGAGCTTCAGCCAAGCCCGTAATTATAATTCATTTTGGGGGACACACATCACCCCCAATATTCAAATATACTCAAAATGCCCCTCCCCCCCAATATATTGCTATAAAATAATTGCTATGCTATGTAAATTAAAACAATTTGCTAAAAAATTGCCCACAATATCTGGACTTGTCTTCATATAAATCAATGCATAGATTTGTGTTTATATGATTGTGGTAATGGTTGTACTTTATAAACCCCTAATCTCTGCCATTACATACAATGAAACAAGAAATGGTAAAAAAAGTTAAAACAGAGCAATGTAATACAATATACTATTAGACATTATTGTAAAAAAAGTTAATAAAAAGCCCATCCTATGTGTTAGTGAATTTTTTTAAATATTTTAGGCAGGAAATTCGTTTCTAAATTTAGATATTTTTCTGGGTTGGGACCCCCAGACACCCTGAAAGATTTGGTCCCCCCCAATGTTGACCCCATGGCTACGGCCTTGGCTTCAGCGTTACTGTAATACAAATCAATGCCGGGTGAGCTGACCCAGCCTGTCTGTTCTCTATGCGTCCAGAGCTAGTTCCTGTCTGCAATCTTAATGCTGCCCCCTGAGTGAGTGGCTGGGTTAAGTTCGGAGGGCCAAGTTCAGCCAAAAGCCATTGTGCATCCATCTCTCCAGCAAGAGAGGGCCCTCCCGCGCTCAGCCCGGTGCCCCACGGGGCAGCGGTGGCGGACAGCAAACGCCGCCTTGGCCGAGGCCGAAAGAGGGCTCGCTGCTGCTGCTGTTGTTGTTTAACTTGCCTCCGGTGGGATGGCCACGTTTTCTCAGCTGTTTGAGTCGATTGTCTAAGCCAGTGGCATCTCAAGCTTTGTTTGGCGACGGTACCCACTTTGTTGAATTTTAGTTTTCAACTGAGTTCCCTTATCCCCCCCCCCCCCACTGCCACCCTCCATTTGCTTGACCCAAAATAGTTCTGAGAAATAAATGTGATGGATAATGAACATCAGTATTGTAACCAATGGTCCATTTTGAAGTATCCTAACTATCGAGTAGCTCTTGCAAGCGAATAAAATTAAATCCACGTGTTCGCGCTCGCTGGGTTACTCTTGAAAACAGTATTGTTCACGATCAATGAGTTTAGGAAGGTGTTTTATATCGTCCTAGGTTACCATGTAGATTTAAATTCTATTGTTATTTTATATTGGCAGATTCATACGTGATTATTCACCCACGACTCTAATGTATGATGTAATTTCACTCGTTTATAAATCACCTCGCGTACCCCCCAGAGCTCTGTGTACCGCCGGTTGAGAACCACCGGTCTAATGAACAGAATGACCACACGTTAGTTCTTTTGGAGATGGTGGTCTGGATAATGCTGAGAGCCATTGTGCATGCAATCTGTGTGCGTTGTTAAAAGCCACTTGGTAGGCTCAGAAGCATCTCGGAAGTGGCTGCGCATGACATCGGTGACTTGTGTGTGTTGAAGACTGACCATCTGACAGCCGCGTAGGGAATTGGAGAGCACATTGCGCATGTTTACCGGGGAAACCCTCGCTGAGGCTCAAGACTCTTTCTCAGGAGGGTCCTGGCAAGTTTGTCGCAGTAGGAGGTTGATGTTGCTGCTGTGTGTAATCCCAATTCAGTCATTTGCATGTAATTGTTCGGCATTGGGATGTGGTTTGATCAATACTGGTTACACTGTGTGTTTAGCTATAGCAGGAAATCAGAAAACCCGGAAAACATACAAACTCCACACACTCGCATACTCTGACCATGCAGAAAATGGCGAGTACATACAAACTCCGAGTATGGAATCGAACCCAGGGACGTCTTGCTATGAGGCACAAGTGTAACCACTGCGCCACCCTGTTCAGTTGGACGCGTCTTCAGTTGGCAGCGCTGCAACTTGTCTGGGCCCACACTGCCGGGAACCTGGCGAGGAACAGATTGAGCAGCCGGCTTGCTGCCCTTGCGGTCGGATCCTCGGACCCCGGTACAGGGCACCGCGGAAAGGATTGCGACAAGGAACAGCAGTGGCGTGGAAAGCCCAGCCATTCGCAGCACTCGCCTGCTTAATTGGTGCCAATGCACTGACAATCTCGGAACAGCTCTTGTAAGAGTGAACGCGTTATGTTGTCATTGTGTATGAGCAACATATGTATCAGATAATGCAATATTATACACCCTCTGAATACATACACATTTAAAAGATTGCATACATAATGTTCTAACAACTTACAGAATTCACTCTTTGGTTCTTTCGGTAAAGTCACGTAGAAAGAAAATCAATTAAATAATAGAATACGACGTTTTGATTGCAACACAAGCAACCATCATTAGTTAGAACTAAATTTGAGAAAGAGACAAAACACAGACACGGAGACACACAGACACACTCTAGAAGAGAGAGACAACACAGAGACACACAGAGAGAGACACAACATAGACACACAGAGACCCAATGCCTCTGTGTCTAGGCCTTAAATAGAGAGGGAGGGGGGTGGTGGGGCAGAGAGAGAGGTGGGTCTGCTGTAGCAGAGAAATTAGCATGTCACTGAAATACCCAACAGGACTGGTACATTTTAAAGAGAGTTGTGTGGAAATCCACCCCGAAGCAACCGAGGGAGAGAAAGAGTGAATGGACCTATGAGAGCCTGGTACATTTAAGAGAGAGAAATAGGCAGTTTGAGAAAAAAAAATGAGCAATTTTTTTGGAAATGTAATGTAATGCAACACAGAGAGTCGGCTAACACACAGTTAGCGCATAGCCTGGTTGATCGTGTATTGCTGGTAGGCTAGTGTTTTTATTTTGGTTTGAATAAAGTTTGTTTTCGCTCTTTCCTTTAACGTCCAGGCAAGTTTGTTTTGTATTAATATTTGATCGAATTCAACACCAATTTTAAATGTGTCCGCGTTTTGATAGTCAATGAACATTGGCGTTCTCATTGCAGAGGCCGGTGCGAGGTGAACCGTGAAGAACCGTCACGAGCTGTGAATTCCTACTGCTGAGATATGGCCACAACGGAAACGAACTCCACGGAGAGGTTTGTGTAACAATTCACGACATACCCAGTGTGTGCAGGGAACCACGACCGTCAGTGACTCTGTTCTGCGATGAGTGTGCACGGAGTTGATGAGCGAGCGAGAGGTGGACGTGGATTACAGCGTGAGCGAGCGGTGTGCTCAGGGTCTACATGGACTACAACGCCACCACACCATTGGCCCCGGAGGTGGTGGAGGACATCAGCCGGGCCCTCACGGAGGCCTGGGGCAACCCGAGTAGCTCCTACGGGCCAGGTGAGTGCCAACTCGCCCGCAGCAGCGCTTTGAGGGGCTCACACTGGCTTCTTGGAAAATACGAAAATCACGTTCTTACCACCCCACCCATCACTCTCTCACCACCCTCTCACCACCCCTCTCACCACCCCTTCAACCACCCCTCTCACCACCCCTCTCACCACCCCTCTCACCACCCCTCTCACCACCCCTCCCATAACTCTCTCACCACCCTCTCACCACCCCTCTCACCACCCCTCTCACCACCCCTCTCACCACCCCTCTCACCACCCCTCTCACCACCCCTCTCACCACCCTCCTATAACTCTCTCACCACCCCTCCAACCACCCCTCTCACCACCCCTCCAACCACCCCTCTCACCACCCCTCTCACCATCCCTCTCACCACCCCTCCTATAACTCTCTCACCACCCCTCCAACCACCCCTCTCACCACCCCTCTCACCACCCCTCTCACCACCCCTCCCATAACTCTCTCACCACCCTCTCACCACCCCTCTCACCACCCTCTCACCACCCCTCTCACCACCCCTCTCACCACCCCTCTCACCACCCCTCCTATAACTCTCTCACCACCCCTCCAACCACCCCTCTCACCACCCCTCCAACCACCCCTCTCACCACCCCTCTCACCACCCCTCTCACCACCCCTCCTATAACTCTCTCACCACCCCTCCAACCACCCCTCCAACCACCCCTCCAACCACCCCTCTCACCACCCCTCTCACCACCCCTCTCACCACCCCTCTCACCACCCCTCCTATAACACTCTCACCACCCCACCCATCACTCTCTCACCACCCTCTCACCACTCCTCCAACCACCCCTCTCACCACCCCTCTCACCACCCCTCTCACCACCCCTCTCACCACCCCTCCCATAACTCTCTCACCACCCTCTCACCACTCCTCCAACCACCCCTCTCACCACCCCTCTCACCACCCCTCTCACCACCCCTCTCACCACCCCACCCATCACTCTCTCACCACCCTCTCACCACCCCTCCAACCACCTCTCTCACCCCCCCTCTCCCATAACTCTCTCACCACCCTCTCACCATCCTTCCAATGACCCTCTCACCACCCCCTCCAACCACCCCTCCCATAACTCTCTCACCACCCTCTCACCATCCTTCCAATGACCCTCTCACCACCCCTCTCACCACCCCTCCCATAACTCTCTCACCACCCTCTCACCATCCTTCCAATGACCCTCTCACCACCCCTCCAACCACCCCTCTCACCACCCCTCTCACCACCCCTCTCACCACCCCTCCCATAACTCTCTCACCACCCTCTCCACCACCCCTCTCACCACCCCTCCTATAACACTCTCACCACCCCTCCCATCACTCTCTCACCACCCCTCCTATGACCTCTCGCAACCCCTCCCAATCACCCTCTCACCAAGCAAATTCATATGACTAGCTCTTGACAGGACACCACTCGCGTGATCTCACCAGGTCACTGCACAACGTAAGCACGCTGTCTGTTGCACACCATCACCTGGGACCCCGTAGCAGTCGTACGCAGCGGTGTGCGCGCGTCCCCCATGAATGACGCACACGGCAGGTGAATTCAACCGTGAAGGCCGATCGTGCGTTACATCCAAACGCTCTTTGTCTCGTTTCCTACCATTTTGAGGTGTTATGCCTTATGCAGTGAGACGGAAACTCCTCACTGTGGGTTGGCAATATCAGAGGCCCCACTTACAAGCGGCCGAGGAGCAAGCTGGGTTTATGCATTAATAGCGCAGCATGCCATGAACATAACTACACAAAGTGACAAGAAGTTCAGGTATAGCGTATAAAATGCATAACGATTGGTCTCGTTTGGGCTGCAGGTCCGTTGGCTGGGACGGTTAATCGTAAGGTTCTATGAATAAATTCTGTCTCTCGCTCAATCAGTCTTCTTGAAATTTCTTCCGCCTTTGACACTGTTATTCACCCCACTTTTCTTTCCACTCTCTCTGACGTTCGCATCTCTGGCACTCCCCTCTCCTGGCTCCCCAGTCTCCTCCGACCACTCCGTGGCCTCCCATTCCCCTCTCAGTGTTGGCCTTCTCCAGGGTTCGGATCTGGGTTCCTCGCTATTCTCTCTCGATATTTCACCTCTTGAATCTATTACTTCCTCTTTCTGCTTTCCTCATCATTTATTTGCTGACAACGACAACCCAAGTATTTATTCTCCGTTCCCTCTCTCACCTCTGACTTGTCCACTTGTATCTCCTCCTGTCTGCCATACAGTCCTGGATGGCACTTCACTCCACTCTCAATATTTCCAAAACATCGATCATTTTCTTTCCAGCCTTTCGCTCTCTTCCACCCGTACCCACCATCTCCTCCCCTCCTCTCTCTCTGTCCTGCTTCCGCTGCCCTCAACCTTGGTGTCACCTTTCACTCTTCCCTCACTTTATCCACCAAAGTCTCCACTACTACTCACGTCTCACGCCTTCATCTATTCAACATCAGGGAAATCTTCCCTCTCATTTCACATTCTGCCCCCAAATTCCTGGTTCATTCTCTGATCTTGACCTGTCTGGACGAATGCAATTCTCTTCTTCTTGGCCTCCCTACTTCTGCCCTCACTCCCCTGCAATAAATTCAAAATGTCTCTGCACGGGTTATTTTCAATCTCCACTTTAACTCTCACACTCTGCCTCTCCTCCTTCAACTCCACTGGCTTCCTGTTCACTCCACCACTCTCTTTTCTGATACCTGACGCTCATCTTTAAATCTCTTCATGGCCTTGCCCCACCTTATCTTGCATCTAATCTCCTTCCATTTCCCCTCTCATCCTCTTCGTTCCCAATCTTCTCCATCTCTCTCTGTCGCTCCTTCTCCCAGTGCCCAATCAAGTCTTTGGTCCTCCCTCCTTGCACCCCAACACTGGAATCAACTCCACTGTACATGAAGCAGTCCCCCTCCTTAACCTACTTCCATTCCTCAATCAAAGCCTCGCCTCTTCTCTGTTACCCATTCTCGTCCCTCCCCTTGCCCCTCCACTTCCTCCCTTTTGTGATCACTAAGTACCCCTCTATCACCTTCACTCTGTCTTCAATCCTTGCACGCCCCTGTCACCTTGTTTAACTATGTCAAGCACCTAGAGTGAAGAAGGTGCTCTATACATGTAAATTAGATTAGATTTATAGAAGCAGAAGTAACTTTAATCCAGAATACAAAACTAGAGAAAGCCCTTTGGGAATGATGGCTAAACGGTGCGTGGTATTTTTATGATTATTATACCTGCAGTATTAATCAGGGCGGCCGCTGACATAGAACCGCGGACGTCCGAAACAAGCAGCCAACGCGCTGCCGCTGAGCCGCATCACTGAAGCGCTTTCTACTGAGGATTTCCCTCGCGTGGAGATGCTTTAGAGCAGCGAGGATTTCCCTCGCGTGGAGACGTTTTAGAGCAGCGAGGATTTCCCTCGTGCGGAGACGCTTTAGAGCAGCGAGGATTTCCCTCGCGTGGAGACGCTTGCGGGGCAGGCATCGAGGAGCACGCCGGACCACTGCAGTTCTGTCTCCCACGTGTGCTGCGTCGTTGACATTGTCACATCAATGGCCTCGTCACCAAGCCAATAAGCATCCTCTGGGTTGTTTTTCATGGAAATAAGTATGGACGTTCCTGTCAGGCCTCGCTCAAGCTGATCGAGTTGCGTGGCTGGGTCTGCGGTGTTCTGCGTGGCTCGGCTCTCTGTCGGTTACCTTGCAGGTCAGAAGGCAAAGGCACTTATTGGCCGGGCGAGAGAGAGCATTGCCTCCATGGTGGGAGGGTGCCCAGAAGACATCATCTTCACGTCCGGAGGAACCGAGGTATCACTGGCCCACTGGGGCCGCCGACGGCTGCCCAGGTCCTCGGGGTGTACGCTGGCGGTCATCACCCCCCACCCCCACCCTGCTCGCCCACGTGCAGCAGCCGCGTGTCTTGAACAGAACAGGGTGGCGGCCTCATGACAATAAGGGGGCTGGGTTAGATTCCCGACCCGAGCAGCTTTCTGTGTGGAGTGTGTGTGATGTTCTCCCCCTGCTCTGCATGGGTTTCCTGCAAGTTCTCCGGTTTCCTCCCATAGCTAAAAAAAACCCCAATACACAGGAGCCAGTATTGGCCAAAACCTCCCATGCTGAAGAATGATCTGCAAATGACTCAAACGGGATCTAACGCGGCAGCAACTTTGCCTCCCTTCTGAGAAAACTTGGCAGTACCCTCGTGAAAGTGAGGCTTCACACTCGGTGAGGCTTTCCTGGGTGAACAAGCGTAGCAGCAGTAATGAACGTGCCCACATGTATTGCAGCATGCACGTATCCTGTAGAGCGCAAAACCTGGCAAGGAGCGTTTGCTCGCTCTGGATTCTTGAGGGAGGCCTTAGACCCCTTGGCCTGCTTTAGGCTGCAGGTGCCACCCTTTTTACGCATCTTAAGTTGTAGAACAAAGGAAAATTAACTAAATTAGCCTTAATGTTTACATGCCGCTTGAAATATACAAGTCACACTGTGTTTAAAATATTATGAACATTGCTACGCAATTAAACTCAAATAGAACATCCGGCCCCAATCTTCCACGCGGTGTGAGTCTACACGGCAGCCTCTTTAATGCCTCGACTTAGGAACACGCAGATGGTGGACATGGATGTCTACATGATTTCAGGTGGTTAAGCTCAGGTGGTTAAGGGACTGGATCGAAATGAACAATGGAATCATTGTTGCAGAAGTAAAAGAGCAGCAACCAATTGTTATTTATAAAAATATATTTCACCTGGAAAATCGCGTGAGGCGAAACACGTGCCATTTGCAATGTGTTCATAGCCGCCGATGGACGGGTTACCGGGATTAACTCGCTCCCGTGTTTTGCTGCGCCAGGCAAACAACTTGGTGCTGCACACGGCTGTGAAGCACTTCTGGAAGACGCGGAGCGCCGGCGGGCGAGAGGACGGGGTGCCAGCTGCGGGGAGCCGAGGGGCGGCGCTGCCGCACATCGTCGTGTCCTGCCTGGAGCATGACTCGGTGCGCCTGGCGGTGGACAGCCTGGTGGCGGAGGGCCGGGCAGGTACAGGCAGAGCCCCGTGTCACCACGGGCCTCCGCGCTTTGACACCGGCACCACCTCGACAACCAGACGCGTGGCGCGGTGCTGCAGGTGGCGGCCAAGCGGCAGAGCGAGCGGCTCGCGATAGGAAGGTGGCGAGAGTTCACATTTTGGTTGGGGGTTGACTCGGCACATCATCGCTCGGGTTGATAAAATAGGTACCACTGGCAAGTCAGTCAGCAGTGATTGTCCTGTGAATAGACTCGCCCCCGCTGTAGGAATGTGGATTTTTCTCTCACTGGCTCAAGGCTGTAAAAGCCGGAACCACCTGGACTCGATCTCCCGGTCACCCACATTCTGAGATTGCTCTCTCTCCATCACGATGCTCCTCATACATGGGGCAGGGCAGCATCGCTTGTGCGTTTTCCAAGCAATAATTTATTCAACGTAAAAATGAACAGCGCACTGCAAGGACACAACAGGAGAAATATAATTACACTTGTTTTTTTATTTTACCAGGTAAGACCTACTGGGCTATATAGCTCTTTTTCAGAAGTGGCCTTGCCACAAACAATAGCTCAATGAAGTGGCTTACGTGGATTTATAGCAGCCAAAAACCGGAAGACCCGGAGAAAAATCCATGCGACCACAGGGAGAACATGCAAACTCGAAATATACAGTTTTCACTGCCGACGTCAGTGATATCATTTGTTCATCTGGAAAAACCTCACCGAGGCTAAATAAATGGGAAGTATCCTAAAAAACTGCAAATGTGAGGAGGTGTAACTCGCAGACGCTCAGCCGAGGCTGCGGAAACCTCAAATCTAAGTTGATGCCCGCTTTCCATCCCATCGCCTGGCCATGTTTCCACCGCTGGCGTCTTGCGTGCCTCATCGACCCTCCGTATGAAACTGTCATCGTATTCTCGGTCACAACGTAGACACGCAAACTAACAAAACGCCGCTCCCCCTCATCTGGTGCAGACTTTACGGCAGTGCCAGCCTCGTGGGTGACGGGGCGCGTGGAGGTGGACCAGGTCCTGGCTGCCATCCGCCCAACCACCTGCATCGTGTCCATCATGCTGGCCAACAATGAGACCGGCATCATCATGGTGAGGCGCACGGGGCTTGCGCAAGGCTAGGACTGGGGTGGAGCCAAGTCGAGCGGTAGGGATGAGCCTGAGCTGGAGCTAAGCCTTGGGTTAGGGAAGGAGACTTAACAACACACGAAGGTGCGTTGCTCACGCACACATCAGGAAGGCCCACTCCCACCGTGCTATGCATGTGTAAATGCACGTGGTAACTCTTATCTATTACAATTTTAGTCGTCGTGCGTTTTGGTGTTTTGGGCCTGTGGTCAGCAACTGTTAATAGTAAAACATGTTTGTGATGCATGTCATAGCGCACATTGCCTGCCCAGTGCTCCCAGTTGAAGGCGACGCGCTGCCAATGGGGATGGCCGCATCTTCAACTCTCTTTGAGCCGATGGCCTAGCCCATATTTCAAGAGCCGCAATGCATGTGAATACGAGACAGTGTTCCTAGAAAAATAACGTCACGAAGCGGCGGTCCTTAAAGAGCCGCTTGTGGCTCTGGAGCCGCAGGTCGCAGGTTGCCGATCCCCGACCTAAACGAGAACACGGTCACACGTCCAGCTCTACCAAGCTGGTGGTTTAGGCAAGGCTGAGAGCACCTTTTTTTTCTCACGTGTTGTGCGATGTACTCACTGCTTTGTGCGGTGACATTTTGGTATCCGGCTCTCAGAACTTTTTTGCAATACTTTGACTTTCCCGTGCACGTGGATTGTCACCGGAGTGAGTAAACTGAAGGTTGACGGGACCGATGCTGTGGCGCGGGCTCCCATAGGAGACCACGGCGCTGGCTCCGCCGTCTTGCCGTAGACGAGTCGATCGCACGGCACCCTTCTCGGACGCGTTGCCGAGAAGCGGCGGCGGAGCAAGAGGGCGAATGTGCCGCTAACGAGCACGTGTTTTGGGGCAGCCGATCGCGGAGATCTGCCGGCGCGTGCGTGCAACGCGAGGAGGGGGCGCGATGCCGCGTCTCGGCCGCGTGCTGCTGCACACGGACGCCGCCCAGGCCCTTGGCAAAATCAGGGTCAACATCGAAGAGCTCGGGGTGGACTACCTCACCGTCGTGGGGCACAAGGTACCACAAACACGAAGACAAAGGTCCCCCCGTGTAGACTTTTAAGAGGCCGCTGGGGCAAGTGCTGTTAGCGAGTAGCACCTATGAAGGCCGTGCGACACATGAGGGGGTGAGTGGCCAGCGTCACACCCGACCGCCTTTTAATGCTCTGTGGCATCAGGCCGAGTCAACTTAGGGGAGGCCCACGACTGGTTTATAAATATTTGTGACTGATTTTGGCCGTGAGCGGGAATCAAACTTGGGTCGCCGGGTTCGTAGCGCATTGCACCACCACTCCCTTTACACAAAGACACAAAACAAAATTCCCTTACTTAACCTCAACGGACTCCATGGGCAAGCACTCTTAGCCTATCTACCTATTCTTATTTTACCAGGTAAGGTCCATTGAGCTATACAGCTCATTTTCAGAAGCGACCTGGCCACAAATGATAGCTCAACGAAATGGCTTATCATCACGTGGAAATTTATATCAGCAAAATACTCTAAACGCATGTTTCTAAATGTGGGGGGGGAAACTGGAGGACCCGGAGAAAAATCCACGCAACCACAGGGAGTCGGCATCGAACCAATGACCTCCTGCATCCCAGCCGAGGGAGTTAACATCTTGCCACCGCGGCACCCCACCGTACACACACCTCACCGTACACACACCCCACCGTACACACACCCCACCGTACACACACCCCACCGTACACACACCCCACCGTACACACACACACCCCACCGTACACACACACACCCCACCGTACACACACACACCACACCGTACACACACACACACACCCACCGTACACACACCCCACCGTACACACACCCCACCGTACACACACCCCACCGTACACACACACACCCCACCGTACACACACACACCCCACCGTACACACACCCCACCGTACACACACACACCCCACCGTACACACACACACACCCCACCGTACACACACACACCCCACCGTACACACACACACCCCACCGTACACACACCCCACTGTACACACACACACCCCACCGTACACACACACACCCCACCGTACACACACACACCCCACCGTACACACACCCCACTGTACACACACACACCCCACCGTACACACACACACCCCCCTACACACACACCCCACCGTACACACACACACCCCCACCGTACACACACACACCCCACCGTACACACACCCCACCGTACACACACACCCCACCGTACACACACACACGCACCGTACACACCACACCCCACCGTACACACACACACCCCACCGTACACACACACCCCCACCGTACACACACACACCCCACCGTACACACACACCCCCCCGTACACACACCCCACCGTACACACACACCCCACCGTACACACACCCCCCCGTACACCACCCACCCCCCCCCCCCGTACACACACACCCCACCGTACACACACACCCCACCGTACCACACACCCCACCGTACACACACACCCCCCCACCGTACACACACACCCCCCCACCGTACACACACCCCCACCGTACACACACACACCCCACCTGTACACACACACACCCCACCGTACACACACACCCCCCACCGTACACACACACCCCCCCACCGTTACACACCACCCACACACCCCACCGTACACACACACACCCCACCGTACACACACCCCCACCGTACACACACCCCACCGTACACACACACACCCCACCGTACACACACACACACCCCACCGTACACACACCCCACCGTACACACAACACCCCACCGTACACACACACCCCCACCGTACACACACACCCCACCCGTACACACACACACCCCACCGTACACACACCACACCCCACCGTACACAACACCCCCACCGTACACACACACACCCCACCGTACACACACACACCGCACCGTACACACACACACCCCACCGTACACACACACACCCCACCGTACCACACACACCCCCACCGTACACACACACCCCACCGTACACACACACCCCACCGTACACACACACCCCACCGTACACACACCCCACCGTACACACACCCCACCGTACACACACCCCACCGTACACACACCCCACCGTACACACACACTCCCACCGTACACACACACCCCCCACCGTACACACACACCCCCCCCACCGTACACCACACCCCCACCGTACACACACCCCACCTGTACACACACACACCCCACCGTACACACACACCCCCCCACCGTACACACACACCCCCCCACCGTACACACACACACACACACCCCCACCGTACACACACACACACCCCACCGTACACACACACACCCCACCGTACACACACCTCACCGTACACACACACACCCCACCGTACCCACACCCCACCGTACACGCACCCCACCGTACACACACACACCCCACCGTACACACACACCTCACCGTACACACACCCCACCGTACGTACACACACCCCACCGTACACACACACACCCCACCGTACACACACCCCACCGTACACACACCTCACCGTACACACACACCCCACCGTACACACACACACACCCCACCGTATACACACACACCTCACCGTACACACACACACCCCACCGTACACACACCCCACCGTACACACACCCCACCGTACACACACACACACCCCACCGTACGCACACACACCCCACCGTACACACACACACCCACACACACACAGCGACGAACAGATACAACAAGTGGTGCATCTGTCAGTCATCTCACTCAAGCCAAAGTGAACCTAGCCTGGCACAAGCGCTGCGGTGACGTCATCACCACTTGGCGGCGAGCGTCGGCGGCTGCGGCCGCTGTTGTCATGCGCGTGTGCAGTTCTACGGGCCGCGCGTGGGAGCGCTGTGCGTGCGGGGCCTGGGCGCCGGCACCCCGCTCGTCCCCATGCTCTTTGGGGGCGGCCAGGAGCGCAACTTTCGTCCGGGGTGAGGACCGACACCCCGGCGACGTTTCTCTCGTTGAAATCGGTAAACGACAGAAACACGAGCGCGGGGTCCCGAAAGCGCAAAGATTTGCGTACCGAAGCTCTCAGCCTTATCCAGACCGCCGGCTCAAGGGAACTGAATGCGTGGGCATTTTGTCGCTTAGAGCGACAATTCATAGAGTTGGGAAATGTGGTTGGCTGGCGACATTCTGTGTGGTCCCGCGTGCTGCCTGTCCCCAGCCCTGTCCCCCACCCCCCACCCCCCACCGTGAGCAAAGCAACCCACGGAATGTCTGGCTGCTTGACGGGAAGGCACGAAGGGAATGACGCAGGCCGTTTGTCTGTTGCCAGGACTGAAAATACCCCCATGATTGCTGGCCTGGGCAAGGTGAGTGCTGCGGTGCTGTGGTCGTGGCCACGAGATGTTTAACCAAACATAGATCCATGCAGGTTTCACCGTCTAGAGACATTTTAATTATCTCTCGCACCCCACAGCCATCCCTCGAATCAAACACCTTATCTCATCTGCAGGTGTTTGCAATGTACTAATAGCTTTCAGGTATCCTCACAGAGTTTAAAATCCTTACAATGTAACGTATTCGTCAACATTTGAACACTGAAAAATGACCTGCTTAATTGATCGGTTGGAATTACATGCGGCAACATCGCCCCCTACTTCAAACTCTTGGCAGGACCCTCCTGAAAAGAGTCTTGAGACTCTTGAGTGAAGCTTTCATGGGTAAATAGATCTAATAATATTCGGGCATCATCCGATAACGTTGAGCGCACGATGATGATGACAATGTGAATGGTTTATTGGCCCAAGCCACGTGGGGTGTTGGAGGGAAGCGGTGTTGCTTGTCGACGCGGCTGAGTGTGTGGGGGCCTCGTGTTTCCTCCGCCGCACCGCTGTGGGGCGGGCAGGCCGCGGAGTTGGTGTGTCAGCACCTGGACGAGTACGAGAGGCACATGCGGCAGATGCGAGACTACCTGGAGGAACTGCTGCTGGTGAGATGTGCCACGTGACGCACAGCAGGATGGAGACCGACCCCTCGAGGAGCAGAGGGTCAGCTGGAGTCGGCTGGGATTTTCTCGGGGCTCACAGCTGCGTTCTGCTCGGCATGTGTGTCCGTGTGTCCGTGTCTGCCGCAGGCGGCATTTGGGACCGAGCGCCTGCACTTTAACGGCCACTTCTCGGGCTCCGACCGATTGCCCAACACCTGCAACGTGTCCATCCTGGGCCCCTGCCTGCAGGGTGCGCCCGCACTCCTCACTCGCCAGAGTCGTCTGCGCCATTACTGCGCGGTCGTTAAACTTGTTTACCCATAAAATGCGGGTCAGGGACTGTATCGGCATCATCCCTCATCCCTCTTGTGTTGGAACACCGCGGTCCGAGAGTTAAGAACCAAAAGCAGAGCCCTGCTCAACGAGTAAAGCATTAGACCGGGCATCCGAGGGGGCACTAGACCCGTGATGGTTCTTTTTTTATTGTCACTGAAGACTCTAAAGACACTTTATCATGGAGGGTCTTGCCAAGTTTCTTTTTGGGTCGGAGACGATCTTGCTGCGTGTGTAATTCTGATTCAGGAATGTTTTGGGTCGTTGTTCAATATCGGGACATTAGGCCAATTGCATCTCCATTGTTTGTATCGTTCACCCGGCAGACTCGCCAAGATCTTTCTCTGCTCTCAAAATAAATCATTAATTCGCCTCCTTCCCATGTTTTCCTCTCCACGCAAGTAAATGCAATGATTGGTTACACCCCATCGGCCACACGTCCTTCTGGGAGTTCGCTCTTTCAGCAGCATTGGTTGATCACAAGGAAACGCTCGACAGGTTTCGACATTCAGTGTCACGCCAACAGTCGGGCTCGCTTGAGCCAATGCTGGCGAACTGCCAGACGTTTACAGACAAAGACCTGGCTCTGTTAGATATGGGTCCTGGTTCGAGTAAAAACCATATAATATACAACACGAAATAATCATTCGCTTATGGAGAGTAACGAAATGACGATAAAATATATTGATTTTACGACTTCACTAAAGCACAAACTTTATCACTTCCACAAAATAGATGGCAAGTGTAACGCAAGAGTGTTGCGAAACCGTGCGCGTGCATGCCTTTGCACTTTGTACATTGGTGATGTGGGTGAACACCAGTACGAGCCAGATCCATGCGTCGATGGAAGGCTGCATTGGAAATGAAAGTATCTGGTTACAGCAATAAATGCACAAGTCAGATTTTAATCATTGTAGCTTCCCAGAATTGCGTGTTTGTAGCACAGTCGTCAAACGGCTTGGGGGGAGGGTGAGGATGTGATTTGGCCTACATTGCAATACTAAACTATTTGAAATGGTTTACCAGGTAAGGCCCACTGAGCGATATCGCTCTATTTTAGAAGTGACCCAGCCACAAATGATAGCGCGAGACTACCTGGCTTATCAGGTGGAAACTTATATCGGCCAAATACTCTAAACGCACGTTTCCAAATGTGGAGGGAAAAACCTGAGAATCAATACATGGTTGATGAGGCCGCCAACTCAATGCTTCTACATGTATTGATTCCATCCCGTTCACTCGCATTGACTTTACCTCCTTGGCTTTCATCCCAGTCGTCACGGTCGTCACAGTCGTAAGCCTTGTGAAGCCACGGGGTGGCGCACCGCACTGCAGCCCAGCGCGTGGCTCGGGCCGTAAGCTGACAGCAGCCCGTGTCCTACCCCCCAGGCCACAGGGTGCTGGCGGAGGCTGGCGGCCTGCTGGCGAGCGTCGGGGCCGCCTGCCACTCTGGCAACACCCACCGGTGAGCAACAGTGGCGTGACTACTCTTATTATTATTATGTTTATGCTTGTTTACACAGGAGAGTTTTACCGAGTCAACTCTTTTTCAGGAGGCTCCTGACAAGTTTTCACAGTAGCTGGTCATGTTGATACGTGAAGAGGAGTCGGAGACTGGTGAAGCGCTTCTTTAGTCTTTAAACCACAGCCACACCCGTTCCTAAAACCAACCCCGAGCACGCGTTTAACAGCCCCTTTTAAACCCTCCATCTCCGCCCTCGTTCCCAATCCACATCTCCGTCTTGCACGCCGAGTCCGTGTGACGTCAGTGTCCTTTAACCCTTGACCCCCGTCTAGTGTATTCCCGTGCGTGTGATTGGTGTGTGCTATGCCGAGTGCGGAGATTTCACGTCTGCGTGGTGCGAGTGTGAGGATGGCTCGCAGATCTCCTACATGTGTAATCCCAATTGAGAAATTTGCAGGAAATTTTCAGCATTATGATTATTTGGCCGATGTCAGTTGCATTGTGTTTTTTTTCTGTCAGTGCTTGTCGGTCGTAATTTTTTGCCAATTGGAAGACAGCAGCAGTGTTGCTGATCCATAACCCAAGCAGTGCGAGTAGTAACCCGGCTCCCTAGGAGGTCCACAGTAGCACGTGGAACAAGCTTCATTAAACAAATCATCGACACAGATCAACCTGGAGAAACCGCACTGCACCTGGAACTCAAGAGACTATCTTAGATTCTTGAGATCTCACCTGGTGAAACAAATCAACTTTAACAAATTATCTCGGCTGACGAAATCTCGTACGCTCAGCTGGCGATGAACCTAGGCCCTCGGTCGCCGGGCACGTGAACGTCTTCGGACGGCCGTGGAGTGGACGGAGCCGCGTGTCCCCACAGGCCGTCGCACGTGCTGCTGCAATGCGGCCTACCGGAGGAGGTGGCCCTCAACGCCGTGCGCCTGAGCGTGGGCCGCGAAACGAGCCGTCGCGACGTGGAGCGCGCCGTCTCCAGCCTGCGCGCTGCCGTCGCCACGCTCGCGGCACGGGGCCCCGCCGGGACTGCTCCTCGCTTCGCCACTCCTCCGGCGGAAGACTCCGTGCCCACAGAGCAAGCGTCCGTGTCAGACAATGATGTGAACTCCACTCCAATACATATTTCTAATTCCGGAGACGCTTAGAGATATAATCGAGCGAGATGGCTGGGTGGCTGACGTGGGCATTAGCGCGCCCATTTCACGTCGCTGAGATGTTCGGTTCAAATCCAGGGAGCAAGCAGCCAGGCCAAATTAAATCAGGTTCTCGTGTATCGAGAGTTGATAGCAACAGCTACACAAAATACGTCCTATTTTTAAATCCTTTATATTAAGTTCGCTTGCTTGCTTAGGACCGTGCAAATCTTTCGGTCGTTTTTTAACCCACTTCCCGTGATCCAATCGAGCTGACATTTTGCACACAGACTCGTTGTGCGTGACAATTAATTTTCGTGAAAAAAAATTTCCAAAATTTTACACTGTTTAGGGAAAATGTTTTTAATATTTAATTACCAATTGTTTAATGCTGCCAGACAATCATCTGACCCATAGGTGGCAGCCATCTCAAGCCAGAGGACAATAGGACTCTCGCCGCCCCGATGCCACGCATATAAAGGATTTATAGTGAAAAACTTTGTTTTTACGGGTTTACTTGTTATTGCACTTGTTTACCCATGGAAGCCTCAATCTCGACTCTTTTTAAGATGTATCAGTAGGGGGCGATGTTGCCACGGGAATTGTAGTAAAGTTATTTTCCAGTAATTTTTCAATACCATAAGTGTTCTTTTTTAGCTGTGGGAGGAAACTGCAGAACCCGGAGAAACCCGATGTAGAACAGTGGGAGAACATACAGACTCCACACACAAATGGAACCCAGGCCTTTCTTGCAATGGCCCACAAACGTTACCACTGTGCCGCAGCCATCCTTCCGTCTAAACATGAGCTTTCACTTAATTGGCCGGGCCCAGCTCTGAGGGCTGATTCAACTTAAATGTCTCGGGCGACTGCCGTCTGGTGACTCATTGCTGACGAGGTTTGTGGTGCTTGGCGAGAGAGGCCTCTGCAGGAATTACTCTGGGCATGCTATGGTTTAGATGGACGTTTCTAGTTTCCCGGCGTGAACCGCACGGGAGTGGGAAGTTGGTGTTTCCGACAGATTGAAATATTGCCCGAGTGAATTTTTGCGTCCAAACTTGAGAAGGTGAACCTGACAGTACAATATTCTCCGGTTTAACAATGCAGTGGAGAGTGAGACACTCCCCCAACTCTTGGATTTTTTTTAAAAAGACGACGTTTATACGGGTTAAGTGTGCAGTCGTGACGTTACACAGAACGTGAGCACCGCTGTATTCGGCGCGACGTGCAGTGGCAGCGTCTCGGCACTGCCTTACAGATCGTGGCGGTCTGTGCACCATGGCCCCTGAATGCGCACAAACACGCAGAACCATGTTCCGGCTCCACGTGCTAATAAAACACATCTGTAATGAGTTTCTGTACAGCACCAGTGAAACGTCTTCATTCCAGTCACTCGATGAAATCCCTTCGACGAGTTGCACGCAGGCCGAGTGGTACGGAGACGGAGTGGCACGCAGACGGAGGGGCACGCAGTCTGAGTGGGACATAGATGGAGTGGCACGTAGACTGAGTGGGACATAGATGGAGTGGCACGTAGACTGAGTGACATGCAGGCTGAGTGACACGCAGTCTGAGTGGGACATAGATGGAGTGGCACGTAGACTGAGTGGGACATAGATGGAGTGGCACGTAGACTGAGTGACATGCAGGCTGAGTGACACGCAGTCTGAGTGGGACATAGATGGAGTGGCACGTAGACTGAGTGGGACATAGATGGAGTGGCACGTAGACTGAGCGACATGCAGGCTGAGTGACACGCAGTCTGAGTGGGACATAGATGGAGTGGCACGTAGACTGAGTGGGACATAGATGGAGTGGCACGTAGACTGAGTGACATGCAGGCTGAGTGACACGCAGTCTGGCATATCGACGTAGTGGCACGCAGTCTGAGTAGCACAGACGGAGTGGCACGTAGGCTCAGTGGCACGCAGACAGAGTGGGACATAGACGGAGTGGCACGCAGACGGAGTGGCACGCATTAGGCACTGAGCACAGTTGTAACATGGTGCCAAGTTTCGGGCCCATTGCTAAACGTTAACTTTGCTTTCAAATATGTACAACAAGGCGCTTCCAGATAAATACGAATTCAACAAGACAACACTTGTGTCGGATACTAAAGCTGTGGGCAAGCAGCGGCCCAGAAAACCCCATTGCTGCCAGGCCCAGGGTAGGGTGGTAACGATACCGCCCCCAGCTTGATGAATTCCCATGGTCAGGGTTAATGAGTCAATTCAGCAATTGATTCCTGCCCACATTGCTTGTGGAATGTATAGCGGCGCCATCAACTAACGATATACTCTGCGTATGAATTGAGAATATAAGATGACTACTTGTGCAAATAGGTACATTTGGTATGGGCAGTGGTCATATTTAATGAACTGCCGTTGCTCCTCGAGGCGAAATTGATGGGAACATTGATCCTGCTGCAATTTCTGTAGTAAGGGGAACAGAAATGCGTATGGTGGTAAGAATTGTTTTTTTTTATCTCTACCGATGTACGTGAGTTTTGGGTTATAAAATAGGTTTTACCTTTTCTGTCAATAAAACAGGTGTCGGGATGTTAACACACCAAACTGAAACCTTTTGCAAGGAATTATGTCTGCATTAACCACAGATACTTGTGGTGAACATGCAAAAAAAACCATGCCCTGATATATGCATTGTATTTGAAACTGATTGATCCACACCAGAGACAGCTTTCTTTAGCGCCTAGTCTCACACAGTGTTAGACCAGAGGACGCCAAAAGGCGACCAGCACGAAGACAATGCCACTTTCAGGACATTGAGAGCTCGGGGCGAGCAGCTACATCATGGGACCTCCCTTGCCAGTATCAAAATATAAGAATATATTTTACCCTTTTTTATCAATAAAACAGCTGTGTTAAGATAGTAATGCACAAAACTGAAACCTTCTGCAGGGAATTATGTCTGCATTAACCACAGATACTTGTGGTGAACATGCAAACAAAAACACATGCTCTGATTCTATATGTGTAGTGGGTAAGCAGGGAGAGCGAGACTTGCTGAAGGCGACACGTTTATTATAACTAAGGGCACAACACTAAGGGGTAACGGCCCCTTACACCCTATACCTCAAGTGAAAATGTAAACCACACAGCGAGGGAACACACAGAGGAACATCACACACAGAGTGACATCACACACAGCACACAGAGGGACATCACACACAGAGGGACATCACACACAGAGGAACATCACACACAGAGGGACATCACACACAGGGACATCACACAGCACACATGGACATCACACACAGAGGGACATCACACACAGAGGGACATCACACACAGGGACATCACACACAGCACACATATGGACATCACACACAGAGGGACATCACACACACAGGGACATCACACAGCACACATATGGACATCACACACAGAGGGACATCACACACAGAGGGGTGTTTTGGGCAGTACAAAGTTCGCGTCTCACATCTTGCTGCATTTGCCTCCGTGCAGTTTGCCGTTCTCTGTGTGCCATGTCCCTCTGTGTGTGATGTCTATGTTTGATGTCTGTGTGCGATGTCCCTCTGTGTGTGATGTCTGTGTGTAATGTCCCTCTGTGTGCGGTGTCTGTGTGCGATGTCCCTCTGTATGTGATGTCTGTGTGCGATGTGTGCTCTGTGTATGTGATGTCTCTCTGTGTGCTCTCTGTGTGATGTCTGTGTGCTCTGTGTGTGATGTCTCTCTGTGTGCTCTGTGTGTGATGTCTCTCTGTGTGCTCTGTGTGTGATGTCTCTCTGTGTGCTCTGTGTGTGATGTCTTTCTGTGTGCTCTTGTGTGTGATGTGTGTGATGTCTGTGTTTGATGTCCCTCTGTGTGTGATGTCTGTGTGTGATGTTTGTGTGCTCTGTGTGTGATGTCTCTCTGTGTGTGATGTCTGTGTGCTCTGTGTGTGATGTCTCTCTGTGTGCTCTGTGTGTGATGTCTCTCTGTGTGCTCTTGTGTGTGATGTCTGTGATGTCTGTGTGTGTGATGTCTCTGTGTGCTCTGTGTGTGATGTCTCTCTGTGTGCTCTGTGTGTGATGTCTGTGTGTGATGTCTGTGTGCTCTGTATGTGATGTCTGTGTGCTCTGTGTGTGATGTCTGTGTTTGATGTCCCTCTGTGTGTGATGTATGTGATGTCTGTGTGTGTGGTGTCTCTCTGTGTGCTCTGTGTGTGATGTCTCTCTGTGTGCTCTTGTGTGTGATTTCTGTGATGTCTGTGTGTGTGATGTCTCTCTGTGCTCTGTGTGTGATGTCTCTCTGTGTGCTCTGTATGTGATGTCTGTGTGCTCTGTGTGTGATGTCTCTGTGTGCTCTGTGTGTGATGTATCTCTGTGTGCTCTGTGTGTGATGTCTGTGTGTGATGTCTGTGTGCTCTGTATGTGATGTCTGTGTGCTCTGTGTGTGATGTCTGTGTTTGATGTCCCTCTGTGTGTGATGTATGTGATGTCTGTGTGTGTGGTGTCTCTCTGTGTGCTCTGTGTGTGATGTCTCTCTGTGTGCTCTTGTGTGTGATGTCTGTGATGTCTGTGTTTGATGTCCCTCTGTATGTGATGTCTGTGTGTGATGTCTGTGATGTCTGTGTTTGATGTCCCTCTGTGTGTTCCCTCGCTGTGTGGTTTACGACACTTCCACCTGAGGACGAGCGCTTGTGTTGCATTCGAAACGTCGTGATCTATTTTAATTTGATTTAATTTCTACATACGTGACTTTACCGAAAGAACCAATGAGTATAGTAATTCATGCAGTCACGGAAGCATCAATCCTAGATTAATATCACTCCATATGCATTGTTTTTCAAACTGATTGGTCCACACCAGAGAGAGCTTTCTTTAGTCTCACACAGGGTTAGACCAGAGGACGCTCAAAGACGAACAGCGCAAAGACAATGGCTTGTTTAGTCAACTGCATCGCTACACATCGGGAGGCAAACAGAACACCGCGATAAAACCCACGGCAACATTGGGGGAGGAAGGGGAGAGGGGTGGTTAACCCTCAACCTCCCAACGATTTCCCGAGCTCTGCGTTCCTACATGGGGATGTGTGTCGAACTCCCGCATTGTGGGCGAGCGACCAGTAGCAGCTACTACACGTGTAGCTACTATATATAGTAGTAGCTACTACATATATGTAGTAGCTACAGATTCTACGGGGCCCGCACTTTCAAGGGCCCCGCGCTAAATGCTTTCAAGCTATCAATTCCGGTTCAGTGACTCTGCACTTGCTCTATTACTATAGTACTATACCGCCTTCGACTGTTACGAACGACTGGGTGTTTAAGGTTAGCGATTTGTCGCATTATCCGGCTGTTTAGCCAATGAAAAAATACAATGACCTTACTGTGCAAGTAAAAAATGTCCGTGTTTTAATATTCACGTGTTGTTGTCTATTAATTTATGGCTCCTTTATAACAACAACAGACGCGACAGGCCCCGCCCCCACTTCACGCGTCACTGCCGCGTGGGGGCGGGGCGCCCAGACGGAGGGAAAACCTCGCGCCTGGCAACGGGGGACGGCCCCGCCCCCCCCCGCCTCGTCGCCATGGAGACGCCGAGGACGCGGACGAGGCGACTTGGTGAGGCGACTCGGCCGGGGAGGACGACCGCCGGTCAACCAGGTTGTGGTGTCCACCCACTATGAGTGTCCACCTGTGTGTGTGTCCATCTCCTGTGTGTCCACCCCCCTGTGAGTGTCCACCTGTGAGTGTCCACCCCCTGTGAGTGTCCACCCCCTGTGAGTGTCCACCCCCTGTGAGTGTCCACCCCCTGTGAGTGTCCACCTCCTGTGTGTGTCCACCCCCTGTGAGTGTCCACCCCATGTGAGTGTCCACCTCCTGTGGGTGTCCACCTCCTGTGTGTGTCCACCCCCTGTGTGTCCACCTCCTGTGTGTGTCCACCCCCTGTGAGTGTCCACCTCCTGTGTGTCCACCCCCTGTGAGTGTCCACCCCCTGTGAGTGTTCACCCCCTGTGTGTCCACCTCCTGTGAGTGTACACCTCCTGTGTGTGTCCACCTCCTGTGAGTGTCCACCCCCTGTGAGTGTCCACCCCCTGTGTGTGTCCACCTCCTGTGAGTGTCCACCCCCTGTGAGTGTCGACCCCCTGTGTGTGTCCACCCCCTATGAGTGTCCACCCCCTGTGTGTGTCCACCTCCTGTGAGTGTCCAACCCCTGTGTGTCCACCTCCTGTGAGTGTCCACCTCCTGTGAGTGTCCACCCCCTGTGAGTGTCGACCCCCTGTGTGTGTCCACCCCCTATGAGTGTCCACGCCCTGTGTGTGTCCACCCCCTGTGAGTGTCGACCCCCTGTGTGTGTCCACCCCCTATGAGTGTCCACCCCCTGTGAGTGTGTCTGTGTGCACCGCACACCATTTGTGCATCTGCAAGTCATCTCAGTCTAGTCAACAACCCATGGTATACCACCAGGGCCTGTTCCGTGACCTCCTGGCAGCGAGCCTTCGACACTTCACGTGGCCTCAATGTGCACCTGGCCTGGCACAGGCGCCGCGGTGACGTCACCGTCACTTAGCGGTGTACGGCCGGTATCCTCCACGTGGGTGTGTGTCCACCAACCACAACCACTAACACTGTGTACGTGTTTCAGCCACACTTGTATCGTCAACCAAGTGTTTGTTTGAATGATCCGTTCACATATGAGTAAGTCACGGATCTCATACAAGCTAAGCATGTGAGGGTCTGGTTAGTGTGTGGTTACTAACAGGGCTTCCCGGATGTTGTAGATGCGGGGCAGTAAAGGTGGCCAGGAAATGGTGGTGCTGATTTATTGTGGATAGTGTCCCGCATGCCTCCCGTACATTAACCACGCTTGTTCCCCGAGATTGAGATTCGTTTCCAGCCACTGGTTCGTGTCGTGCACCAGCCCAGACCGGATGTTCTCACTTGTCGGTACCACCTGAGGTCACATGACGAGAGTGGTCTCAATGTCTTTATGTGAACAGCAGTAGTGAGTGAATGGTGCGAGAACCATGTGGAATTAGTGAGCGGGCAAGTCATTCACTCGTACTCGCCGAATAAATACATCGGTATGACTAAAGTCTTGCTACTTTAGGTGGTAGCAATTCCAGCTCTGTCCCTTGGACGAATAGCTAATACTTGTGCATTGAATGTACATGTTAATGGGTGCTGCGGTGGCGAGGTGTTAACTACCTCGCCTGGTATGGAGGAAAGCGTGGCTTCAATCCCGACGCTGAATGCTGCTGTATATTTGGAGTTTCCATGTTCTCCCCGTGGGCGCGTGGTTTTTTCTCGGGGTTCTCCACTCTTTCCCTCCACGCTGAGGAACATGCATTTAGAGTATTTGGCTGGTATAAATTTCCACGTGATGATAAGCCACTTTGTTGAGCTATCATTTGTGGCCAGGCCACTTTAAAATAACTATACAGCTCAGTGGGCCTTACCTGGTAAAATAAAAAAGAGTTTGCTTGAGTAATACAAAAAAGTGTTTCATTGTACCCTTTGTGTTTCTCTGCAGGTTAGAAACAGAAGCGGAAACGTGGTAGTGTCTGGGTGCCGCCTATCAGGCCGGCCTGACACAACGAGTGGAGATGGAGATTGTGTACGTGTACACCAAGAAGCGCAATGAGTTTGGACGCCAATGCAACTTCTCTGACCGCCCGGCCGAGCTGCACGTTGACATATTGCCCGATCCGAGCCTGGCCGCCGACTACATTTCTCGCAACCCGTGTGACATCGGAGTGCAGTGCGTACAGGAGATGTCCGAGCACGAGGTAGGTGCAGCCGTTCGCGTCTCACAAGTGCCGCTCGGCTGCGTTGCCCTGCTGTAGTCCTTCCCAGCTGCTGTGCAGCCGCGGCAAGGCCCCAGGTGTGCCACGCCATTTTCTGAATTCGAGGACAGGCCTCCCCTCGCCATTGGTCACCTATGCAGCTCCGATAGCACGATTGGCTATGTACGGTGCGAAAGAAGTTCAACATACATAATGTATGTACGCATGCACAGTGTGGCACACGACCGTCAACTCCCAGCCCTCTCAACCCCCTCTTAGCTACAACGCATTCCTACCCACCCAGGCCCACATGGTGTGCCGTACAGGACGAGCAAGCTCGAAAGTGAGTAATGTAGAATGAAATAATTTGAGAAGCACGGGCCTACTGTATGGGGCATAATGACAAGTATTTTAACTTCGATTATAGATAGAATTGTGGTTTTCTTGCGATTGTCATTGTAAAATTGTTGTCACTTTCCATCTCATTTCATCTCACAGGTGAACACGGAACGCTTTGACACAGAAAGTAAAGGTGTAAACCATGTGGAAGGTGGCTGGCCAAAAGATGTCAATCCGCAGGAAGCAGAGCAGACCATTCGCTACCGCAAGAAAGTGGAGAAGGATGAAAATTACGTGAACATCATCACACACTTGGGCACTGTAAGCGTTGCATGCCAGCGAAAGATGCTGCACTCACTTGGCACGATGGTTGTGGAACGTTGCAATTTCTTGTCACGAGTGTGTAAAATTATGGTGCTTTTAACACAATAAATAAACCAAATCTGATGATTTGTTTAAAGGTTTAGATGACCTACTTTGTTGTGTTACTTTGTATATTTTGGGTTTCATTGTTATTTATTATCACATATGTAGACAATCGGAAATGGATCGTTATGTCCAGTATCAGACCCACAAAGGAAAAGGGATATTGCTGATTTGTATTGTTCATTTACATGACCATGACATTGTTAAGTCAGTCTTTGAATCACTTGACAATCTGTAGCCTTCCCTAGGATTATGCAAGTAATGAGTTAATACAAGCAAATAGCTGGCATGCTTCCAGAACACAATTTACTTTGCCAAGGGCTGCGTGCACACATAGGGTAATTAGTGCAACCTTGTCTTTTTGCGTTGTTCACCCGTAGATGATGGAGCACTGTGTGAAGCAGAATAATGCCATCAATATCTACCAGGAGTACTTTGAGGCTGAGTCTGTGGAGGTGGAGGAGGAGCAGCCTTCTGCTAAAACAATCAACGTTTTTCAGTGGGTATCCAGATTTTTCTGATCTCTTGCTGTCTTCACATTGACCTTCTGCTTTTGGGCAGTACTTCTCATGCATAATTATCTAATTGAAGGAAAATTCTCCGATTAGCGCAGTTGGCTGCGTACGACGCGAAATAAGTTCAACATACATACACCCTGTCTCTGTTGACATTGCCGAAGATTGTTGCCACAGATGTAAATGTTGTGCTTTCTTTTTTTCTGGAAGAGATCCAAATGAGCTGAAACGAACAGCCACACACCTGTCATGGCACCCCGATGCAGGACGTAAGCTGGCAGTGGCTTACTCCTGTCTGGAATTCCAAGGGGCCACGTCGGGCACAAGCTCCGACTCCTACATTTGGGACATAGGCGAGTGGCAAGCTGCAGAAAACTGCTACCACCACCACCACCACATACATCACATACATACTTGGCTCTTTACATGTTATTACAGTAGTCACCATACACAATACTTTTGTAACTTAATTGGAATTGTGCTATAATTGGTCTGCAACGAATCTGCCTGAGCCAACTCACTTTGCAGAAAATACTTCACGTTGATTTATATTGGTGCAATATCTTCAATTTCCCCTGCGACAACACAGTGGTTTGGTTCTAATTTCTATTTGCTTCACTGCTGAAACTTTATTTCATATTTTTTTTTCCATTTTGGTGACTTGGATCACTCTTGCAATCGAGACTCATCATCATCCCTTGAGTTTTCACCTGGTTATACAAAATAACTTTAAACTTAACTAGGATTGCACAATCCGTAAAGCTGTCACCCCAACTGTTGGGAGAGAACCACCTCAGGACCCAATCAAAACCATCACCTTGCCATACATAGCAGGGATCACTAAAATATTTCCAAAATCATGAGCAAATACAAGATCCAGGTCCGATTTAACACAGTACATAAAATTCGTGATCTGATCCCATCTGTGAAGGATGTGATCCCTGACATGCAATACCCCGGCGTCTACAAACTCAACTGTGCCTGCGGCAGTAGTTACATTGGGGGAACTAAGCGAAATGTCTCAGACCGTGTTCGTGAACACAAGGTGGATCTGAAACACGGTAGGACCAACACCTCTGCCGTGGCTGATCATTGTTTTAACGCTGTGGGCACACATGAAATAGATTTCTCCAAGACGAAGGTACTATGCAAACCCACTGGCAATCAACAAAGATTTGTTCATGAAGCCATCCAGATATATAAATACAGACAATTTCAACTGAGAAGATGGGTACAAACTGAGCAATCATTGGAATGACGTTATTTTACCAGGTAAAGTCATCACTGGCTGTGATGCTTCCATCCTACCTGCCTATGTTAGCAGGTTTTTCCGACTCTCTGAGTTACATTACCTTGTTTAATGTCTTCACATTAACAGGCTAAATGTCTCACTAACATAGCTGCTGCTCCCTTTTCCTCGATGCGGTGGTGGCGCTCGTTGTTTAATAGGCTGAATGTCTCTCATTAACACAGCCGCTGCTGCGGGAGCCGTCTCACATTGACATGCTAATCTCTCATCTCGAGCACTACAATGGCTTCTTTAGCACCGTAGTCGTGGAGTTACATTAACACATTGACATGCTCATCTCAAGTAGCATAATAGCCGAGGTATATCTAGCTCTGCGATCTTACATTTACTGCAAATTCCATCTCTAGCCCCGCCCACTTACCCTTGGGTTGTACCCATCTCAAACCTATATAACCTTTGGCTGCAGTAGCTCTCTCGCTACATTTCTTCTTGCCTCAGCAGTCCGCCTGCTGTATTTTTTCACCTGAAGACGATTGCATGCGTTGCGATCGAAACGTCGTGATTTTTTTTTTCTACGTGACTTTACCGAAAGACCCAAAGAGTATGAATTCCTGCAGTCACGAAAGCTTTGAGTCAAGATTTAACGAGGGAAATTGGGGCTGCCGGCTAATCATGTGGTGGCTGCCTTCCTGCATGTCTGTGGTAGCTCTTTGCATCTCTGAGTGTTCTCTCTACGAGAGTGAACTTATTCTGTGCGCGTCACAAGTTTAAATTATTATTATTATCATTGAAACATGTTCCAATCATGTCTCATGTTAGGTAACGATGCTTGTTTTCTCTGCGCTCAGAAACCCCCAATAAGCCGGAACTCACTCTGAAGCCAGCATCTCCCCTCGTGTGCCTGGAGTACAACCCGAAGGACTCACACATCCTCGTGGCTGGCTCATACAATGGCCAGATTGGTTCGTACATAGCAACCGCGCGTGTATGATTACGCGGGCCCTTTAACGTGTATTTGCCATCAGTTCATACAGCACAGTTCGGCGTGTCTTTGTGTTGTGTGTCTCTTTCTACATGTGGTTCTGCCTATGCTGTTTCCGTGTGTCTTTGTGTTGTGTGTCTCTTTCTGCTTGTGGGTCTGCCTATGCTGTTTCCGTGTGTCTTTGTGTTGTGTGTCTCTTTCTGCTTGTGGGTCTGCCTATGCTGTTTCCGTGTGTCTTTGTGTTGCGTCTCTTTCTACATGTGGGTCTGCCTATGCTGTTTCCGTGTGTCTTTGTGTTGTGTGTCTCTTTCTGCTTGTGGGTCTGCCTATGCTGTTTCCGTGTGTCTTTGTGTTGTGTGTCTCTTTCTGCTTGTGGGTCTGCCTATGCTGTTTCCGTGTGTCTTTGTGTTGCGTCTCTTTCTACATGTGGGTCTGCCTATGCTGTTTCCGTGTCTGTGTTTTATCACACTTTACTTCTAATTCAGCAATCTTTGGAAAAACGTTAATCAACCAGGCTATGCGTTAACTGTGTGTTAACCGACCCTCTGTGGTGCATTGCGTTACACTTCTTAATTTTACTAAATTTGCTTTCTCAAACTTTCGATTTTCTTGCTCTAAACCATCGTCCCTCCTTCGGCCACTGTGGTCCGGAATTCCACACTGCTCCCTCATTGTCCCCTCGTGCGTCAGCTGGTCCCACCTCCCCAGTCCTCTCTCTGCCCCGGCCCCTCCCCCCCCTCTCTATTTAAGGCCTCGGCACAGATTCGTTGTCCTTCTGTTCGTCTTGGTGTGTGTCACGCCCGGTGTGTCTTTGTGTGTGTCTCTCTCTGCATGCGTGTCTGCCTGTGTTGTTCCCGTGTCTGTGTTTTATCATTCATCCTTACCTGATGATGGTTGTTTGTGTTACAACCGAAACGTCGTATTTTATTATTATTTAAATATATTTTCTACGTGACTTTACCGAAAGAACTAAAGAGTAATTCCTGAAGTCACGAAAGCTTCGAATCTAGTTTAAATCTATTTGTGTTCCGGCGTGCGTACATTCTCTGTTGTGATGGGAATTCTCATCACAGATTTGATGCAGATAGAATGTTAGCCGATTATATAGAGACAAAGATCCCCAGTACAGCCTTAACGGATTGTAGGGGCAAGTGCTGTTAGCTAGCACCTATTAAGGACGGCACGGCACACAAGGGGTGTCGCAGCACCACATCCAGCTGCCTCTGTCTCCCTAGTGGTGATGTTTACACATTCTACCAGGTACTCATTTGACGCTGAATCGACCTAGGGGAGGCACAGGATTGGTTCAGAAGATAATCGTCACTGTTGTTGGTCATGAGCAGCAATAGCATTCGGGTCTCCGTGTTCGTAGCGCAGTACGGTAACCACTTCACTACCGTTCCCCAATCCCACTGATTCCACAGGGCACCATGACATCATAACTGCAGGTTATGTCGTCTAAGTGTCTGCTATTATTGGAGGCTGCCCATGTGTATAAAATGTTTACTATCAGCCAGACAATTGTGTGGAATGCCATAGATGCTATGAAAGTAGAGTCAGACGTGACTTTAAATTCATGTATTAAAGGCTGACGATGAGCACAATTGAAGTCGAAGCTCCTCACCGTGAAGGTAGAGGATTTGCCGGCACGCTTGACTCCTGCTGTGCTGTGGTTATCACCGCATGTGCAGTCTCCTGCTGGGGTTATGCTGTCCCTGTCCATTGCACTGATTTCATATGAAAAGTGTTGGCAACCAATCACCGACAGTCGCAGGTATTGTGTGGCTGGACACGCGTGCCTTCTGACCTGGAGGCCAATCACATAAAGCCACTGATATCACATGGTAGTCAAAGTTTAACATCAGTCATCATCGAAGAGCCACTATTCCTCGGAAATATAAGCCTACATTAATATTACTTTCAACAGTCACAGAATGTCTTAATAAAAATAAAAACCACGTTCCTTGTCACGTCTGTAGCCTATTGGGACACACGCAAGGGCTGTCAGCCCGTGGAGACCACGGCCATCGAGCACAGCCACCGGGACCCCGTCTACAAGGTCATCTGGCAGCAGTCCAAGACCGGCACCGAGTTCTTCTCGTGCTCCACCGACGGGCAGGTGTGTTGCACGGTTCGCTCCTCGCCGGTGGTCAGTGAAGGCTAACGGTGGACAGTAATACTGCACTTGGAAGTGTTCTTGGTTATTCCTCATACTGATGAATTGCATAGAGCAGAAACTGGAACCACGTGAGATGCAAACACTTTGGTGATACTAACTTCTTTGTACAGCCAGTGGAAGTGAATCGTGATCACATGTGCTTGTAGACCTTGCAGGAAACACAATCCAGTGGTGGACGATCATGTCATAATCACAAATTCAACGTACCATCTAGAACAGTGGGTCCTAAGCTGCGGTCCACTGGCCACTGGTGGTAAATCGGCGGAACTGTTGCACATCTGGTTTTTGTGTCACAAAACACCACGTTTTTACTGCACGGTGACTCGCAGAAGTTTTTGGAGGGTTTACAGTTGGGCCCGCGGGTGCACAATGGTTGGGAACACTGCTCTAGACCCATTGAGTGAGGATAAATACTCAACCCCCATCCCCAGCATTCCCCTGGTTAGTGTAGTTATTTATTATTAAGTAATATGATGCTTGTTTACCCAGGAAAGTCTCAATACTCTTTTTCAGGAGGGTCCTTCCAAGTTTCAACAGGAGGGGGCGATGTTGCTGCTACATGTTATCCCAATTGAGTAATTTGCAGATAATTTCTCATCCTTGGGATGTGTTCGCCAATACCAGTAGCATTGCGCGCGTGGGTGTGTTTAGCTATGGTAGTAAACTAAGAACCCAGAGGAAACCCCATGCATAACAGGGAGAGAGTTGGGAATCAAACCCAGGATGAGGCACAAGTGTTACCACTTTGCCACCCTGCCCTTGAGCTAAGAGTCCCCTGTGTTAATAAGATATAGTCATATATTAGCCGGGCACACGCCTGTAATCCAGCAGCAGCACTGTGGAGGCGACATGAGTTGCATAGGCTTGGCGCGCGGGCGGGTGGGCGGTTGTCCAGGGTGGAGGGTGAGATGTCTGGGCGTCCGTGTGGCAGGTGCTGTGGTGGGACGTGCGCAGGATGACGGAGCCCATGGAACGCCTCGCGCTCGACCCTGCCAAGAAAGGGGATTTAGACAACGCAATGGGAGCCACCTGTCTGGAGTTTGAGCCCACCATGGTACATCAGACTGACTGAATATAATAACCATTACTATTATAATTGTAAGTGTTTTTTCTTAATATTAAATCATGTCTTCACACTCGCAGGTGCGTATTTAATGAATGGTTGAATTATTGTTGCCTTGAGACTAGTTAATGGATCTCCTTATTGTGAAGGTAACAAGCCTCCCACATATTTGGCTCCCAGAGACTTATGGCAGCAGCGAACACGAACGACTGCACTGATGAGTCCTCAAAAAATACAAAATAGCCATGCGTTCAGTTCTTTTTGAGCTGGTGGTCTAGACAAGGCTGAGAGGTGTATACATGCAGTGCACATATTTTACGTGTTTTAACATCTATGGATTGAATAGTTTGATACTGCAGTACTAATAGGATGTAAATCTCTCTAAACTTTAAGCAGTGCGACCGGTGCTTACGTGCACCAATGCTGTGTCGGGTTCATTAGGGCGTAATCAGTCGGCAAGCAGAGTTTCATTTGCTGGAGTGAGCTGGTGCAGCGTCATCGCAGCGTCCATGTATGTCGTTCCGTGTCTCGGCTTTTTATGAGGCAGTAAATAGTTTAAAGGGTAAATATTTAGGGCTTCAAACACACTTTTGGTTTATGAGTGAAACTAGTGACTTGTGTAGTGTTGTCGACAGTGTGCAGTGTATAGTATCGGGACAAATGTATATCGTATAGCGGAACATCATTATCATCATCAGCCATGGTTGATCCATAGCTGGATGAAAGCATGTCCATGCTGTCACCATACCTCATGTTTCTGTGATGCCCCAATCCATCTCGCTCCTGCCAATGAGTTGATTTCATCGGCCCATCTCTTTGCTTGTTGTCATCTCGGGCCTGTTCTCTCCATTTGCTGCTATTCCTTCATGAGTCGCATCCACCGGCCATTGTCCCATCTAGCGCTGTGTCCCACAGAGACCCACTTACAGTCAATACCATCGATGTCTTACAACTGCATTTGTTCTCTCATCCACATGCTCATACCTCTGACTTCCAATGTAATTCCGACTATGCACCTCTCCATGCTTCTCTGAGCACTTGGCAGATTCTTCTGATCTATCTGCCATCACAGGTAATATGCACTGATTTAAAACTTTCATCTTTGCCAAACCAATATGTTACTTTTCACGATCAAATTCAGTTTTCTAAAACTAGACCCAGTTTTACAAACGATGTATTCAACTCCAAATGGAAAGTAGAACACAGCACAACACCGTAATGGTTGATAATTGGTTCTTTACCCTTCTATCTGGCAACAAAACTGACACCTTTTTGTCGAGTGCAAAAGTCGGTGACCACCTGCAGACAGGAGGACAGCAGTTAGATCGGTGAGTTTGATGTTGGAGTGAGGATTGAGAGGGGTGAGCGTCCATCAGAGTTCTCGGCCAGCACAGCCGTGAAAGCAATGGACGCGTTTGTTCAAAGGTAAGCGCAGCATAAGATGGACATGAGGAACATTAGGCAGGAGAAGTTGCCAAAGTTGGCTCTCCCTGAAAATTCCCTTTGGAAAGAAAAGAACCGGAAAATATGACGTGTTAAAATTCAAAAAAAGGTCCTCGTCTTAAAGAACAGTAAATATCTTGACTTAAAGCTTTCGTGACTGCAGGAATTCATATTCTTTGGGTCTTTCGGTAAAGTCACATAGATACTACGCGACTTTACCGAAAGACCCAAAGAATAACAGTGAATATCTTACAATTTCACAGTGACATGCGCGTTTGATGTAATTGTCATTTTCCTACAATTTCTGGATGTTGCCAGCTGACAACATCTTGATGCAGTTGGCAGCGATCACTGGCGTCTGAGGAGGGAATCCTCCCGTATTAACCTGACACGCCGTGTCCCACGCAGCCCACCAAGTTCATGGTGGGGACAGAGCAGGGGATGGTGGTGTCCTGCAACCGCAAAGCCAAGACCCCGGCGGAGAAAATCGTGGGCACCTACAGCGGCCATCACGGTCCTGTCTACGCCCTGCAGCGACATCCGTTTTTTCCCAAAAACTTCCTGACCATTGGAGACTGGACCGCTCGCATCTGGTCAGAAGAAATCCGTGACTCGTCCATCATGTGGACAAAGTGAGTGCAAAGAACCCGTCACGTATTTACTGTTATATTCCGTTCCTTGCCATCTGGTGCTGTGGCTGGAGCACTTGGCTCACGATCGGTCTCAAAGTTCAGACTAGGTCTGCCATCTTTTCTACAGATGGCACCTAAACATATCCGCCAGTCAGCCTAGGTCTATCAAAACTATGCAGGTTATTGTAAAAATGAAATTCAACAAAATACCGGTAACCAGATCTCACTACAAATCAATTCCTGCCACTTGAACGCAGATCTCAATTTCCTGAACAGGTGGCAACTCGATTTAAAATTCGGGTAAAGGTCATTTCAGCGAGCCCCTGCGATGCTGTGCGTTAGTAGCCAAGTGGTGGTTCTCTGCAGGTACCACATGTCGTACCTGACCGACGGCTCTTGGAGTCCGGTGCGCCCGGCCGTCTTCTTTACCACCAAGATGGATGGCTCGCTCGACGTGTGGGACCTGCTGTTCAAGCAGAACAATGCGACTCTCACTCTGCAGGTAGTCGTAGTAACAATACGCGTTTTTATAACAGCGGCACTCATGCAAACTGCAAACACGTTAGATGCATATTCTATGGTTCTTTCGGTAAAGTCACGTAGATATAAAAAATAACAATAAAATAATAAAAATAAAGTGAATAAAAATATCACGACGTTTCGATCGCAATTCAAGCGGTCATCATCAGGAACAGGGAGGTTAGCCTCTGAGGGCAAGCTGTTTATAAAGGTTTAGAGATGGGTGGGGCAGCTAATGTTAATGTAGAATAAAGCTCGACACCGACAGTATGTCTACACCAATCAAAGAGCTGTTTATAAAGGTTTAGAGATGGGTGGGGCAGCTTATGTTAATGTCGGAGAAAGCTCTGACACCGGCAGTAGGTCTACACTAATCAAAGCATTGCACCTCGCTCCACACACCCACACTGCTGACGGTGGAGGATGACAAGAAAACACAAATCAAGTCATGACCAAAAGTGGTTGATGACATCTTTCGAATGATTGCTGAGTCTATAACCTTCCTCTCGGTTGAAATTGTCTCTGTGTCTGTATATATGGATGGCTTCATGAACGAATCTTTGTTGATAGCCAGTAGGCTTGCAAAGTTCCATCGTCTTAGAGAAATCAATTTCGTGTGAGCCAGCCGCATTAAAACAATGATCAGCCACGGCAGAAGTATTGGTCCTACCGTGTTTCAAATCTGCCTTATGCTCACGAACACGGTCCGAGACATGTCCCTTAGTTTCCCCAAAGAAACTGCTGCCGTTAAATGCATATAGATGAATATGTTTCCAGCCGATTAATGAGTGTTCATATGAATGGGAGGAAATCAGATAATTCAGGAAAACCCACAGTGTGCAAGGGGTAAACACTCTATCCCTTATAGGTTGAATGATGATATTAGTCCGCACTTTGCTGTGCCGCTTCTCCTGGTGAGCCAGGGTACAGCTCTTTCTCAACGGCCACCGGTAAGAAGGGGGTTTGACAACATCTGTGTGTGATCCACCAATCCCCACTGCTGCTGCTGCTGCCTCCGGAGCGCTGCCGGACTCCAGGCGGGCTGCCTCTGCTCCTTCAGCAGCTGGCGCCACCCGCATGCAGCGCCTCATGGTGCTTCACTCGCAGTGGGATGTGATACGCTCGTCCACGGTCACTGTGCCACATCACCGCCTGTCTGTGTTCACGGACATGCTCCCGTGACTGGGTTAACATTGGATAACGTACCCACGTGCCCAAAGAAGAACGTATTTAAGCAGTCCATGTTAATGGTATTTAACACGTACCAAAAACTTGGACATTGTCAAATAAAATGACAGAAATGGAAAGTGTGCAAAGAAGCATGGAAAGGTACATCCTTGGAATGGCATTGCCTGCGTTATGTGTCTAGGTGAGCGATGAGCCCCTGCACAGCCTGCGGATTCAGGACAATGGGCGGTTTTTGGCGTGTGGGTCCCAGAACGGCACAGCGACGCTCCTGGAGCTCTCCTCCGGTCTCTCGTCACTGCAGCGCAATGAGAAGGCTCTCATCACTGCAGTAAGTGAGGCCACATCCTCCGTTACAGTTTGGGGATACCCTTGACCTCCTTTCATTCGGAGCCGTCTTCACAGAAAAGTCACTTTAGTATTTGCGTGCGATTTACCTGAACTAATGGCATGTTACAAGGTCCGTCAAGATAAATAGATTGTCGCGGCCAATGCTGCTCAAGTTACAAGGCCTCCTTGCGTCAGATTCTGCAAAAGTTGCACAGCTGGCACCTCAGACATCTGCTCTTACAGTCTCCCACACTCTGGGTTTAGGTGGGGTCCTACAATGGATCGACCCCTACTGAATACAGATTTGTAGGGTACCACTGAAAAAAAAGCAGCCATTATTCTGTCGACAAAGTGTCATTTTTGAAAGGGGAAGTTTGAAGTAGAGCATAGGTGTTTAACGCCACCTTTTCCGCCTGCCTTCCAACGCCGAGATGTTCGAGCGGGAGACAAAGCGAGAGAAGATCCTGGAGGCGCGACACCGGGAGATGCGTTTGAAGGAGAGGGGCCGCTCGGAGCAGGGACGTGACGAGGAAGGGCGCGAGAGCCAGGCCGAGGAGTCTCGCCACGACCTGGTGGCGCGGGCCGAGCGCGACTTCTACCAGGCGATCGAGGAGGAGCGCAGCCGCCACGCGGCTAAGGAGAGCCGCCGGCACGGCGACGACGAGCAGGTACCGGCAAAGCCTCTGGCCTCCCCACCAGCCATGCTGCCGTGTTTGGCATGAAGGGCTCTTTTAGTGACGGCAGTGTTCCACGGTGGTAACGCTCGTGCCTGGCAGCAAGAAGCGCTCAGATTCGGTTACTGCTTCCAGTGCCTTTGTGCGTTGAGTTGTTGTGTTCTGAAACCGGACAACACACAGGAAACTCATGCAGAACAGGGGGAGAATGGTAAATCTCCACACAGAACGACGTCCGTGTCGGGAATTGAACCCAGGGACGTCTTACTGCGAGGGAGGAGTGTTACCACAGCGCCGCCGCTCTGCCGCCCATGTTTCTGTGTTAACGTTAGGATTCAAGTTATTATTTGGCAGGAGCCATTAACTTTTTGGCGAAAGAGTCTGTTGAATAACCCATGTGGAAATGCATATCAGCCTTCAAAAGTAGCTGCTTTGCACATGTGGATATGCAAATGTTGATATATAATTGTTAACCAGTAAAATATTAAATGTTAATGCTCTTGCTGGTATGGTGTGAACACAGTTACAGCAGCAATAACGTTTCAGCTTTTACTCTAATTATGACTGAACATTGATTGTGGCTTTTGTCAGTTTGATAACCTGGTCAGGTGGCCTAGCACTAGAAGCAGGCAGCTCGCAATGGGAGCGTGTAACTGGTCCAGCTTGCACTCTTTGAAAAAGTCAACAGTGGTGGTAGTATGGATAGATGCACCCCCACCAAAGGAAAGAAGTTCCACTACTGGGTCAGGGCTGAAACGAGCACCGCCGCGATTGTCATTTGAGCAGGAAATCACGTTGACTGTTATTTTTAAACTTACAAGTGTTCAAAAATCATAACCCCAGTAATGCCGTCCACTGCAGCGCAATTCATGGAAAACTTACAGATTGTTACTTGCCAGGGGCTTTTATTGATTTATTGTTTACGTAAACTCTTGGAATGAGAACATCCCAATGTTGTTTTTGTGCAGGAAAAGGGAGCTCTGGAGGAGGAGGAGTACGAAGGAAAAAAGGTAATGCTCGTCTTTTTTATTTTGATAATATTGATGGTGCCTGCAGTAGTTCGTGGCAAAATCTTCAAAGAGAAACAGCACAATAGGATTACGAGTGAAAGCTTTCGTGTGATGCCAGCTACTGGGCTGGCACCAGGAGGGGCAGGTTCCAGGTGGCCCTGCTGAGCAATCTAACGCCTGGCCTAATGATAGACACCACAAGAGAAAGAGCATCCAATATTCGCCGGGTGGTGGTGGTGGCTATGCATGCCTGGAAACCATAACTTTGGAAGTGAGCTTTGGTGGATCGCATGAGCCTAAAAGATGGAATATCATTTCATTTCCATGAATTTGTAATAATAAAACATTCTCTCATACACGGTTTTATACACGTATCATGAACATAGAATGGAATTTCATTAGAATGTTTCATTATGCACCTAGTGTTGTGTAATATGTATTATACTGGCGTTTTGGATAATAATAATAATAGGAACTAAATGAATCGGAGATGGACACATTAGCATTTTTGTATTTGTTCAATGCGTGTCTCGCGTACGCGTGTGACTTTGCCGCTGGACGCAGTGCGAGTGAAGCCGCCGCCGTCTGTCTGCAGGATTAGCCAGGAACTGGCTGCACCGAGCGTGGAGCCACGATCGGCAGCGCGAGACGCGGGCTCTGCACCACCGGTCTCATCGACGGGGATAGCCTCGTGCACTCCATCCTGGAGTTTATAGCGGCTGTTCGAGTTTCAACTTGGTAATACGCAAGACATACTATGGGAATGAAGCCTGTACTATGTCTTCTAAGACAAGTGTGTCTATGTTCGAGTTGTACTATGTAAGCCAAGTTTGCCTATGTTCAGGCTGCTTTCATTCAACTCGGCTTCTTTTGCACTCTACTGTCTTTATCCATTCATGTCGATTCACCTTGTGCCTCTTTTGGCTGTTTTTTCATTAAAGTGATCGCCTGCTTAAAATAGGCATTGCTCATCTCCTGTTACAACCCTAAGCCAGTGGTGGAAATTCCACGTTCCCATGGCAGAGGTGACTCCCTCCATTGTACAACCACTGTTGACATCACCACAAAGGGGTCATTCATTTTGAGTGACCCTGAAGGGATGATGGGCCGAGTTATCCCCCAGCCAGACTGAAATTGGAAGCAGCTCAACCAACCACTGACCCCACTGCTGGGTCACCTGGCATGGATATTTCCCTTCGGGTTCATTATATTCCAGTTCACTCTTTTGTCTCCTGTATTATCTGCTGTCCATTTGATGATTCCTGTCTGATGTATTATAGCAGTTCTGCAAATAAACACAGAATAAAAATTGCACGTGCCTTACAGAATGAATTTAATTTGTTTGGTTTATTTTACAACGACTGTGTTATTAATATTTGAGTTCTTTTGAGTTAGAGCGCGTAAATATATAAATGTGTTGTTAAAACCCGCCACCACCCGACACGGCCAACTAGTAAGGGTTGTCATGTAAACAGAACACTAGTACAGCACACCGGTGTGTTGGAGAGCCAAGCCACAACATTTGCAATCTGACTACGTTTCGCCAGTAATTACAACCAGCTTCATCAGGCGACAGCCAGATTTGTGAAGTCTAACTGTTTCATTCCTTATATAGAGGTGTAGATGTGGTGACCACACTGCGCTCTTACGCAAAGTTGGGGGGGGGGGGTTAATGAGTCAACGTACATTATGCATGTGCATTATACGAGCCCTTTGATCTTGTCCTTCCTGTCCAATGTGTGTATTAAAATAGCGTACCAATGGTAATCCCTATTGAAGTATGGTGCCCTTTATAGGCACGCATTTAAACAATGTGTAGTGAGTCCAACTGAAAAGTCAACAGTGGACAAACACTATTTATTTCACTAACTCAACATAACAACAGGACCCTGCGGGGTGGGCTGGTAGGAACGAATAACCAAAGAATATAAACATAATGTATTATTACACTTGTTTAGCCAGGAAAGCCCCACTGAGTCAAAAGGTTTTTCTAGGGTCCTGCCAAGTGTTTGCAGTAGGGGGCGATGTTGCTACACCTAATGGGACGATCCGAAGGGAGATTTTGAGGCCTAGTTCTAGGCTTTAGGCCTAGCTGTAGGCTTTAGGGCGCTGTGAGTTAATTTTTAATTTAAATGTTTTAATTATTAATGTATAATTTAAATGTTTTAATTATTAATGTAAAAGCTTTAAATGTAAATGTTTATATTTTAAAACATCAGGGAATGTAACATTGTTAAACATTAACTCCCTTTCATACACGCGGAGGTACGATACGAAGGGAGACTTTGAGGCCTAGTTCTAGGCTTTAGGCCTAGCTGTAGGCTTTAGGGCGCTGTGAGTTTTTAATTTAATTTCAAGGAATTATAAGGGAATGTTACACGTGTTTAGCCAGGAAAGCCTCATTAATTTAAATGTTTTAATTAAAAGCTATCTGAGGGAATTATAAGGGAATGTTACACTTGTTTAGCCAGGAAAGCCTCACAGAGTCTAAAGGTTTTTGTAGGGTCATGCCAAGTGTTTTCAGTAGGGGGCGATGTTGCTACACGTAATCGGACATCGGACGGACGGACGGACGATATCATCTATTGTAGGCTGGTCCACTTCGTTCCTACCAGTATAACACAACCTACACTTGGGTGTTGAATGCTCATCTAGCCACACTACGGCAGAACTCGACACGGTTAGCTGGGTCCCAGCCAGGACCACAAGCTGGGTCCTGGACCGCGTGGCTAGAGGCTTCTTTTACCCGACGTGGATCTTCATCACCAGCAACCTGAAGAACCCCGAGCCCCTCACGGGGGCCCCCATTATATCGGCCTGGGCTGGGGCTGGCTCCGCCCCTCGCCCCGCCCACCTTCTAGATCTCTCGAGCTCTTTCCCAAAGGCTCCCGAGAGCTCCTTTAGACCACGTGACCACCCAACGGCCCCCGTCCACCGGTGGCCCCCCTCCAATATCATCTGGTCACGTGTCGGCAGGTCAACCAGCGTACCATGCCCCAACGTAACCCTGGCTGGCTGACAATCCCTCTCGCTCCCTCACCGAAGGCCCGCACCGCACACTGTACGTGGTGCCTCCGCGCTGATCAGCGCTCACCCAAGCCCCGCTAGGGCTGGTACTATGCCCAGTAAGCGGGCTACACGTAATGCCAACACATTATCCGCCGTGGCTTCGTAAGCCGGGCACCACATAGTGACATCACTACAAATGTATTCTTCTTGGTTCTTTCGGTAAAGTCACGTAGAAGGGAAATAATAAAATACAAATAAAACAAAATACGACGTTTCGGCCACAACGCAAGCAGCCGTCCTCAGGTGAAGAACAGGGCTGTCGGAAAGACAACGTCCGAAACGTCGTGAGAATTATTTTATTATGTTTTATTTTTATTCTTTTATTATTTCCCTTCTACGTGACTTTACCGAAAGAACCAAGAAGATGAATCCCTGCAGTCACGAAAGCTTTAAATCGAAAAAAATACAAATGTATTATTTGATTATTCGCATCCACGCAGCACGGTAAAAATTATTTATATTTCTTTAAATTTAGATAGATTCTCGAATTAGTCTTGGCCAGTAGTAGCTAGTTTTGCACAGAACTTCAACATCAAAACCAATTGAGTGTCCTTGTTGGCACGTGTGTTCTGCTACTGCTGACAGTTGTATTTTGGAGTATTTGATATTTCTCTGATGTTATTTTAGTCTCGTGCTGATTATTTCGTCCTTAATAGGTTTTTAAAACTGATAATTCGTCCTGTTTGCCCAACATAACATTTGCCACACGTACAGTTAATCCTGTACACACCTTCTCTTGATAGCTTCGGTAATACATCTTTTGTACCAGATATTAATTTCTGTATTTTATGTACCGTGACAAAACTGACTGATATTTTGTTTTTCCAAACATCTGACTAGTTTATCAGTTACTTCCGTAATGTAAGGTATTTTGATCTTTTTAAATACTTGGGCAGTTTCAATGCTCGTGTAATTTTATTTGGTTTTGGCATTCAATGCCCTGTTGATTTGTGCATCATTGTAACCGTTCATTTGCAGCGCTTCTTTAACATGTTGAATTTCACTTCTCAGACTGTCACCATCTGACACTTTCTTAGCTCGATGAATGAGCGTCTTGATAAGAGCAGATTTCTGTGTGGTCTCCCCCAAAAAAACCTCTATTATGGATATTGGTCGTGAAAGCCTACGTGTTAAACTGTGTTCTTATTGCAGAAGTTCATCGCCTAAACTCATGAACTGGCTTCGGTCTCCTGCACTTCGTTCCACTTCCGATGCAGAGCGGCTCCGTGCGTGGAGCGGCGCGGCGCTCCACTTGGAATGAGCAACACGTGGAGGTGTACAGCGTAGCACGCACAACAACCCCGAGCAGCAGAATCCAGACCACTCGCTCAGAAAGTTTAGCAAACATGGCCCACCAGTTATTCAGAAACGGTGGTTTGGATAAGGAAAACGGCACATCTGGCTGTGTTAATAAAACTCTCTTTCACAGCCTTGCACTCGCTCTTCTGCTCCGATGGGATTTATCGACAGAGATTATAATCGCTCCACTTGAGCAGAGAGGACACTCCGACTCTTGTCACCATTTGGATATTTAACAAGGGGGTGGGGGGGGGGGCTGTTTTTTTGCAGGTTTGGGGTGCCCCCCCCCCCCCCGCCGACTTCAGGGACATGCCAAGACAGTTAACGCATTATGAAAATGGCAGTCAACACGGTGGTCCATTCACATGCATTCGTGCTCTTGCAAGAACACATTGTGGCAATGGCATTTATCCAGGAGAGCTTTAGTCGTCCCATTCTGTCATGTTAGGGCAGTTAGGCCCATTTAACGTTAAGGATTATTTACCTCGAAAAGCCTCACTTGAGCAGGAGGGTCCTGCCAAGTTTTCGCAGTATGGGGGCGATGTTGCTGTGTACTCTCATTGAGTAATTTGTAGGAAATTTCTTTGAGCATGTGGAGGACGTAAAAAAACACATAACATAACTGATATTGGCTAAATGCTATCGGAGACAAATGCAGAACCCTGAGGAAGCCCATGCAGAACAGAGGGAGAACATACAAACTCCACACAGAAAAGCACCCGAGGTGGGAATCGAACTCGAGGACTTCTTGGTATGGGCGCTACTGCTGCACCGCTCCGCTGCCTTCATTGATCAAGAATGAATAAGGCTCAGGTATTTGCAGATCATTTTATTGCAGAAAAAAATTACTCCTAGTTAACAAGGATTATATTGCGAATCTCTTACCAGTATCCAGACACCCCCATAAAACCAAACTGAATATAAAATGTTCGTCTTATCTACGTAGTATCATCCCAACAAATGTTTACTTAACATCTGGAACGTTTGTCACGCCAGTTATTCTCCAACAGAATCTCACACAACAGTGGCAAGTACAATGCAACGCTGCATTTCCAGCAGCATTGAATGTGATGACAGCGACATTAATCGTTTCTTATGTTGAAAGTTGCGTGATTTTATATTTGGGTAACAATTTTATTGTACACACATTTCAGGGTCAACGTTGGGATACGAAACAATTAGTCTCACAAAACTATGAAATCAACGATCCATCAATCAACTCTTCAAGAAAATTTGACTGTCCATTTGTGCAAAACGTGAAAGCAGCAAATACCGCTCGATACGAAAACCCCGCTGCCAACAGCTGAGGAAGCCTCCAGTCACCCTGAACGTGAACACGGGTGACTGCGGGGTTTGTGGGTAGGATGAGGCAATTCGCTTGAATCAAATGAACACGGCACATGGCGGCAATAGCGACACGCAGCGTGTCGAGCCAGGCGGTGCTACAGCGGAGGCCTCAACTTGACTCACCGAAGGACACGGGGTTTGGTTCATGGGTGTTGGGATCCAGAATCCTAATCCCAACAAAACTCATGTTTACGGGCCACCCAATGTCTCAACTTGCCTTTCTAATATCACCATGGAGTTATAATTACCAACCCTCACGAGTTATTTCTGTTAAATTCCATGCAGTATAGTTGCGTGTCAAAACGAGGATCCGTATCTAACATAAGGGTCCTTGCCTATGGAAATCTGGCTGTTCCCCAGCATGGATTCATCCAGGCCTGATGAGACAACTGAATGTTGAAGCCAGTACAGACTTTTGCTCGTGCTGAACCAATGCCGCTATGTGCTCCCAGAAGGCTTTGTGGCTGATTGGATGTGTAAACATTTTTTTTTTCATGTGGAGGCGTCTGGTCTGCGTATTTACTCATTTCACCGTGCGACTGACCATCGTTTTGTTCTGTATAAGTGTCTTGTATATTATCTGGCTGAGTGGGTCAG